TTCAAAAACAGAAGCTAAAAAAAAAAAAAAAACAGCTGTGTTTCACCCTCAAGCGAATTTTGGAATTAATCTTGAAATTTACGGAGCTTTATAAGCATATACATTCTTAATATTAATTACATGAAAACGGTGAAACCAATTATTGTAATAAGGGGCGTAAGGATGAACATATTGTATCAAAATATTAATTACTTTCGGAAAGAGGTTAAGTTAAGGTAGGGTCGAGGTGTCTATTTTCAAGCGAATGATGACATCAGTTTGAAGCATATCGTCTGCTCTGTTTCAACGGCAGAGATTTGTTGGCATTGTTGTTACGCCGTTAAATTCGTATATGTATACCTTAATGTTTTTTCTAAATGGGTTTGTTTGTATATTAATACGACGTATTGAACTACAATTTGTTTTTTGACGACTTCATAAGGTTTTTTTTTATCTTATGATTGGGTTGAGATTTTAAACCTTATGATTGAAATTTAAATTGTTTTTAGACTATAAAATTTTAAAATTTTAAAGCTAATTATTTACGGCGAAAGTTTGTCGATGTCGGCAAAAAACTGTTACCTCATCTCTATGATTTAATAGATTTAGAAACTTAATAATGTGTAGTTTTTCATGTAGGCATAAAGGACATAGGTCAAGCCAGCTTTTACAAGTTCTATTTATTATTTTCCATTTTACTTTTGGTGTTTTATTCGAACCTACAATCTACATTTCAACATCGTCACTTGATAAGACACCAGCGGTGTTGAAACAAAACGGCTATTTTTGTAGTGGTTTTATAACATATGTTATAATTTTTAAATAAATAATTATATTCGCTCTACTATGTATTGAGCACTCTTTTAAGAATAGTAATTGTTGGTTATTCCGTATACACCAATCATATACTTATATATATATATATATATATATATATATATATATATATATATACACTGGTATGAGTTAGTATTGCTGCCATATATGGTCTGGTGCCCCCTCTGTTTGCCTCGGGGTTCTTGATAGGCTCCAGAGGCGGATATGCAATGTAGTTGGCCCTGCCTTGGCGTCTCGTCTACAGTCACTTTCTCACAGACGCGCCGTCGCCTCTCTCTGTCTGTTTTACAAATACTTCCATGGCAACTGCTCCGACGAGCTGCATTCGTGGGTTCCCAGACGTCATGAGTTCAAGCGCCCTACGAGGCTGGCATCCCGCTCTCACCCCTTCACTGTCGAAACTCCTAAATGTAGCCGTCTCTTCTACTCTAATAGCTTCATGTCTTGCACCTCTCGCCTGTGGAACTCCCTTCCCTTCTCCTGTTTCCCTGTGAGCTATAATCTCCAGCTATTCAAATGTAATGTCAATCGACATCTCCAGTTGCCTTGATCTATCCACTACCCTCATCCTTTCTTCTATCACTCCTATCTGATCTTGCTCTAAATTTTCTGTAACCCCTTGCGTCCTAGTGGCTCTCTGCCTTGCTTGGGGTGAAATGCTTAAAAAAAAAGGAAAACAAAGTTCAAAACGATTTAGTTAATAGTTTCTTTGTAAGAGGGAAGCACTCATAATAAAACCTTGATTTTTTTCAGTGTCTTCTTCTGCTTTGTCTATGTGTCATATCCCTTGAGGACGTGGGCGATCGTGGCTCACCATAATCTCCTGTCTTTTACTGCCTTTAGTAATTTTTTCTATTTTTGCTAAGCCCTCTTTCCTCATTATATACCCTAGTAATTTCAAATCTTTCTTTTTTTCTGATACTATTTATAATTGTCCTTTCTGTTTCCATTTTCTCTAAAATTTCCTCTTCACAGTTCATATTCTCAGCATGCTTCTGTATAATAACATTTCTGATGCCATATCTTCTTCTACATGAGTTGGTCCAGCATTCGGTGACATATGGGAGTACCAATATTACGTAACAGTTCAGTACTGTATTCTTTGTTTCCAATGAACATTTCGTGTCGTTTAATACTTTGCTTACGTTTCAGAAGGCATCTTTCGCTATCCGAATACACACGCAGGCATGTAAATATGTTTAGGTTTCTTTTAGTTTTGGATGCAATATAAAATACAAACTTTGAATATGGTTCCTTGTTCCGCTCCCTAAAATGCCTAACTCCTGCTGCAATGTTTCAAAGAGTCGGACCACACCCGAAATGGGGTATTGCTGGCTTATCTTGACTATTGCTAAACTGGAATTCAAAAGTGATTACGTAGCCTTGCGGGTGATGGATTATTTTCTACCATACTAAACTGGCAGAACGTTGCTAGACGCTCAATGTAATCTTTAATTCATATATCCTACTAGTTTTGGTCTTCAAATCACCATATTGATACATGTTTAAATCCAGTCTAAGTTTTCGGCTTTCATAAGCCATTATCAACGATGACAATTACATTTCAATATATCAACCAATACACGGACAAAACAATAATGATAGTCTGTTTTTGATGCATGAAAAATTTCAAAACGACGGCTAACTCGAGACGCGGAAGCGAAAATCTCGTCGCAGCTCGTGACGTCACACATGACCACAGGAGAGTGAAAACTAGAAGTATTAATTATGGGAAGCCGTTTGTATAAACCAATGGCTTCTGTTATCAATTATAGGCATTTAACAATATTTGTGATTATTTCGTAGTTTATTTTGTTCAGGTTACGTTTCAACTGTTTTATGTATATAGCTTCAAGAATTTTTAGTTTTTGTTTATTGTTTTCATGTTTAAGTATAGTTGTGTTTTCAACGAGGATTTCCCGGAATTGTGTACGCGACCAGGCATGTTGTTTTAAATACCTAAAAAAGTTAGAGTTATCATTCAAATGTAGAATGAAGCGAGTTTGTGGTATGACCAACATAAATATTATTTAATGCATTGGAGATACAATCTCCCAAAGGGCACTTGAATTTGTAAATTATGTTTTTTTCGCAAATATACACAATATATATATATATATATATATATATATATATATATATATATATATATATAAGACTTAGCTAAGTACAGACCGCATATAGATTATATATCGACTGTGGTAGATATGAACAGATATGAGTAGCAAGGGAAAGAGATCAATGGATGAAAACGAACGTGAGAAAGAGATACGAACTGATTGTGATAAGTTTAGTTTATTTTGTTTTACGGCAAATCAGCACGTCAGTGGGCTATTTAATGCCTATAAAATTTTTAGGATAGGTTCGTATGAATAGAATATTTATTCTTTGTAAGGAATCATTTTCTAGATCAGATTTCATTCAAGTAGTTTTATAAGAGGGGTTTTTGAAAAAGTCAAATGTATTGCTTGTAATATTATGTTTTTCAAAAATGTATTGCTGGTATTTTTACTATGAAAACATATTTTACACTTTTTAACTGTTTCGAAACCAGTGAAGAGGTTAACGCTTTGCCATTAGCTGGGAGACTAACAGGTGGTACAATCCCAGGTCAGGGTGGACCACAATTAAGGGACGATTTCACGCTCTTCAAAAACGCTTGCTGCCGGATGTAGTTTAACATCATCCCCAGAACGATGATTGTGATAGACAGACAGGGATAAATCGATGGGCATATATGAGCAGAAACAGATAGATAGATATATAGATAGATAGGTAGATAGATAGATAAATTGATTGATTGATAGATGGATAGATAGATAGTGTGAGAGAGAGAAAGGGAGAGAGAGAAAGAGAGAGAAATACTAACCAAGATATAGAAAGATACGAACAGCTTGAGATAGAGGGAGAGATAGATGTGAACGGACTTATAGATAGATAGATAGATAGATAGATAGATAGATAGATAGATAGATAGATAGATAGATAGTGGGAGAGAGAGAAAGGGAGAGATAAAGAGAGAGAAATACTAACCAAGATATAGAAAGATACGAACAGCTTGAGATAGAGGGAGAGATAGATGTGAACGGACTTATAGATAGATAGATAGATAGATAGATAGATAGATAGATAGATAGATAGATAGATAGATAGATAGATAGAGAAAGGGAGAAATACTAACAAAGAGGGAGAAAGATACGAACAGCTTGAGATAGAGGGAGAAATAACGGAACAAAGATAGATAGAAAGATACGAACAGCTTGAGATAGAGGGAGAAATAAATGTGAACGGACTTATAGATAGATAGATAGATAGATAGATAGATAGATAGTGGGAGAGAGAGAAAGGGAGAGAAATACTAACAAAGAAATAGAAAGATACGAACAGCTTGAGATAGAGGGAGAGATAGATGTGAACGGACTTATAGATAGATAGATAGATAGATAGATAGATAGATAACGAAGCAGAATGAATGCTAGAAATTTGACGGGAATGAAACATATATGAACAGAAATAGATACATACATACATACATTTGTACATACTTAGATACATACATAGGCATGAAAAGTTTGAGATAGACCGACAGACATGAATATATTCAGACTGAAATGAATAGACTGTGATTAATTGAGAGACACAGACAGATAAATAGATAAAAAGAAAATGAAAAGGGATAGATAGATAGATAGATAGATAGATAGATAGATAGATATGAACGGACCGAGATAGATAGATAGATAGATAGATAGATAGATAGATAGAAAATAAAAAAAATATCGCTAGCTAGCAAGATTCACAGATATACAACATTAGATAGATAGATAGATAGATAGATAGATATGAACAGACTGAGACAGATAGTTATGAACTGACTGAGATAGATAGATAGATAAGAGGATAGATAAATATGAACTGACTGAGATAGACAGACAGACAGACAGACAGATAGATAGATAGATAGATAGATAGATAGATAATCGTGTAGTCATGTAGTCAGATATTAAGTAAAGATATTAGAAGACATAAAAGAATTTATTATGAATCTTAATAGTCTAGAATTTATGTCTGTATTCATATTTATTCAAATATCGAATTCGTCCTATTTGCCCCTCCCTGATATATATATATATATACACATACATACATACATATATATATATATATATATATGTGTGTGTGTGTGTGTGTGTGTGTGTGTGTGTATACACGTCCATTTCCAATGAAACTTTTATCATTGTTATTTTCCTTTATTGTCTTCACTAGATCTTTCAATCCCCTTCTTAAGCCTGTCTTTATCATCAGTCGGCCATTAAACCAAGTAATGTAGTTGTTCTCTATGAAATACATTCCATCAGGCGAAATCAATTCGGATTTTTCACTCATTTATCGACGATTGTCATCTTCATAACGCTTCCCGTGAAAAGCTAGGAATCTTCAGATTGTCTGCTGACAAACATTACAAATACAAAACTTTAAAACATACACGTATGTATATATGGTAACTGTCACTCCCTTTGAAAAGAAGGCCATATTTCCAACGCGTTGTCCTCAGCAGACATGAGCCCACAGAGGAGTATGAATATCAGCATTGTTCTTGCATATCTTTTCTTTTTAGAGAGTCTTGAAAATGATATTGTTTACTCTTATGTGTCGCTTCACCCTAGCGGCTGACCTGGAATTAAAATCACAAAAAAAAACCATTAATCAACTGATATCTTTCTACCTATTATCAGTATGGCTGATGCCAACCTGAAAAAAACTGACACGTTGCGCCTTCCCAGGCTTACATTCTCGGCTGACATGAAGTAAAAAGATTATATTGAATCCATTGCTAGGTCTCTTGCTAAGAATGCCTGCCTAACCTGTCATGGTAGACAATTTTTCTCTCTGGAATCTATGTTAAACATCTATAAGTTTATCGTTCGTCCATGCTTTGAATATTGCTGACACATATTGCCCAATGCCCCTGATATATAATTATAGAGACTCTTAATAAAATCCAAAACGAATCGGCAATATTATTGGTCCTGATCAGTCATTTCGGCTTCAGTAATTACCCTACCGCAGTAAAGCCTCTTCTCTGTGCCTTTTCTATAAAAACTATCATGGTGGTTGTTTGGATGTAGTTTTATGCTACCATAACTACATAGATTTGACCGCAGTAATAGATTAACAACAAGCACTTATTAATTTACAGTTGAATTGTCTAGATTCAACCAGAAGTTCTGCGCTAACGGTTTCTTTTCTCGCACTTCTCCCTTGTGAAACTCTCTTCCGGTTCTATTCTTTCCACCCAATTTTGATCTTGAAAAACTAAATGAAATGTCAAACGTTATCTACTGCCATCTTGATTACCCTACTATTGTTTTCGCTTTTTAATAATGTTTCTGTTTTCTTTCTCTTTCATACTCAGTAAAGTGCATGTGTCTTAGTGGCTTTATTGCCTTGCCTGGATGAATTTAAGTAAAAATCTGGCGTTGTAGTTAAAGTTTTGAAGATCGTAGTTAGGAAGAAAACAGGAAACTGGAAGCATGAGAAAAGATACCGTTAGTATAGAACTGTTACATGTAGCAGATTGCAAAAAAGAAAAACTTTGGAGAAAGAATGAAATGCTGGAAAAGAAAGAAAGAAAGAAAGAAAGAAAGAATAAAGAAAGAAAGAAAGAAAGAAAAAGAAAAAAGAAAGAAATGCTACAAAGAAAGAAATAAAATGAAGAGATAGAAATAGTACGGTGAAGAAAGAAAGAAAGAAAGAAAGAAAGAAAGAAAGAAAGAAAGAAAGAAAGAATAAACAAAGAAAAAAGGAAGAAAAAGAAAAAAGAAAGAAATGCTACAAAGGAAGTAGTAAAATGAAGAGATAGAAATAGTACGGTGAAGAAAGAAAGAAAGAAAGAAAGAAAGAAAGAAAGAAACATTTTGGAGAATGAAAGAAATTGTAGAAAGAAAGAAATAGTGGAAAGAAAGAAAGAAAACAGAAAGAAAAAGAAAGAAAGAAAGAAATTCTAAAAGGCAGAAATACAATGTAGACAGAAATATTACGGTGAAAAAAGACAGAAAGAACGAAAAAAGAAAGAAAGAAGGACATAGATAGAAAGATAGAAAATGGAAATATTAAGAATATAAAGAAACACTTTGGAGAAAGGATGAAATGGTGGAAAGAAAGAAAGAAAAAAGAAAGAAAGAAATGTTACAGAGGAAGAAATAAAATGGAGAACTAGAAATAGTATGGTGAAGAAAGAAAGAAAGAAAGAAAGAAAGAAAGAAAGAAAGAATTGGAGAAAGAAAGCGGGAAAGAAAGAAAGATTGCAGATATATCGTAAAGAAAGAAAAGAATGAAAGAGTATGAAGAGATAAATGGATTAAACTGCTGAGACACGGGAACGGACACTTTTCTGGTTTTAGTCAAACAATAGCCATCGAGTCCGTTTAAAATAGAACAAACAGTAGTGAGTTATTAAGATATAAGACCGCTCCACCTTTTCTACCATTTCTTACTAACACTTCAATAATTAATTCTAGTAATTAACGCTAGAGGGCGCTCTCTGAACGCGAAATTTAGTCTCCTTGACTCCCAACTCGAGAACATGCTACTGTCTTCTGAGGGGGGGAAAGGTAGTGCGATGGTAAGCATCTATAAGCCTGGCATCGGGAAACCACACTGAGCCTACGAGAAAATGGCTTGACCTATTTGATGAACCGATGTTATCATGCACAATGCACCATGGACGTTGGCAATCAATCCGACGGATAACGATATCAGTATCAGTTTATCTTGACGATTATGGGATTATGAGACAACAAACATCCGCCTTTAGATATTAAATGGTATAAAGCAGGCAAACACGAAATTCAACGCCTTGGTTTGTGGAAGTGGACGTACTTCTATTATTGTTGGATTTTCGGAGACACACAATTGTTTCGACTGTAGATATAAAAACACCAAACGGTGAGTGTTTTCTTTATATTTGAACATTAAATCTAAAATATGAAATAGAAAGAAAATCTATGAAGATGTTGGGAATGAGAAAACTGGTATCCGGACAAAGCGTGGACTGTTCTAAAAACTAATAACAATAATTCTTTCCTTGAACTTTCACATCCAAATCAACGACTTCAAGAAAGTGAGAAAAATCAATGAGATAATCTATCAAAGGCAAAGAAGGCCTGCTACATTGTAGTAACAAATAATAAAATATGGTAGAACTTTAACCTCGACTTGAGAAAATTACACACCATGAGAATCAATAATTGGTACACTTTGACTGGTGAATAGATCCTAGTTCAAATGAATTAGGAATACATCAATGTATAGAAAATGACTGGTATGATAGTGTCTGCAAAGATACTGGGGAAAGTGCTGGAGGTTTGATGAGGATTTTTTGTTATTTATTTTCAAGCGATAAGCCCCTGCTCAGCAGACAAACAGAAAATATATTGTGTACCATCTTAGCGGTAATAGCATTTGTCCTGATGAAGAATCGAGACTCACAAAAAAATATTATTACTAAAATAAGCTGGAATATTAAAGAGGATACTTGAGGATTAGAGAGACTTGCTGTCACTTGATCTCCAGTTGAAACCATCATTTAAAACTCATGTGACCATGTAGTGAGTAATAATAACTAAGCAGGAACTAGGTCCTCAAGTGCGCAGGAAAGATGGACGAGCCATCTCCACTCCCTATAGCTTACTAAGAATGAGTAATGTGCGATACGACTATCGTTAGTGACAATCGCTTGGAGAGAAATCGCCCTGATACCACACTTGTGTAAAAGAGCAGTCTTCTTGGAATCCTTATAGGACTTCTGGTACCTTCGGATAAGAGCCTTATGATGGCGAAGCAGTAGAAAATATGGAGGTAACAAGACTGGACAGAGCAAATCAGCGAGGTATCCGAAGCAACAACTTAATTTGTTCTTTTGTGGTTGGTGCACTCAAGACTATTTCCAGGAATATTTCGACTTCGCAAGGCGCCTTGGGGTATACTTAACATGTTTTGAAATGACCAGGTAACAGAACCGCTTGGAGCAGTTCCTGTGTCTCTAAGCTGCAGGTAGGAACTGAGATATCATATTTAACACCCGGCCAAAATATCTACCAGACAGATAGGATAATAATAATAATAATAATAATAATAATAATAATAATAATAATAATAATAATATTGTATCTGGTCGCACAGTGTTAGCACTCACTGAATGCAAATTTTACGAGAAAGAAACTGCAAGAATCTGGTAAACATCACCCAGACCCGGTTGCAGAGATAGGACCTGTAATAATTTTATGGGACTTACAGTACACAAAGACAGAACAATTAAAGCTAATCGTCCACATATCGTTATCAAAGACCACAAAAACAGAATGTGATTTGCTTATTGACATGGCAGTTCTTGCAGATTGTAATGTACCTTTGAAGATCTTTAAAAAAAATTATCTCAAAATACAAGGATACTGAATCTGAAATCTAAAAAAAATGAGGCACATGAGAACATCACTAATTCCAGTTATAGTTAAAGCTCTAGGAGTAATTGCAAAAAAAGGTTCCGATAGACTCATTGAAGGGATCCCTGGTAGCCCATGCTACATGGAAATAAATACAAAAAAAATATGCTCACAAGTATAGCTCGCACATTATGAGGATCTTTATTTATGTAAAATGTGTGTGATTTTATTTTTTCATTCTAAAACAATAATAAGTGTCAGATGTCATAAAGCCATTTCTGACCGTAAGTCTCTAGATGGTATCCGTATGCGTATACAACAGAAATCAATAATAATAATAATAAGGAAACTGAAAGAAAATAGTATGAACACCACCCAGACCCGGTTACGGAGATAGGACCTGTTACAATTCTATGGGACTACACAATACACACTGACAGAACAATCAAGGCCAACCGCCCAGATATTGTTATTAAAGACCACAAACAAAAAAAAGTGCCTCTTTATTGATATGGCAGTCCCTGCTGACTGCAATGTATCTTTGAAGATATTCAAAAAGCAGTCAAAATACAAGGACCTTGAAATAGAAATCTCAAAAATGTGGCACATGGGAACATCAACAATCCCCGTCGTAGTTGGAGCCCTAGGACTGGTTGGAAAAGATTGCAGTAGACTAATCGAAGGGATTCCTGGAAGTCCATGCCTTAAAGTAATACAAAAAAATTTCTGACAAGTACAGCACACACTTTACGAAGGGCTTTATTTATGTAATTTTTTTTTGTGTCATGATGCCATTTCTACCCTTAGGTCCCTGGAAAGAAATGTGTAAACGCCAGAAATGAAAGGAAATAATAATAATAATAATAATAATAATAATAATCAGGAGCCCAACAAACAAGAAAAACTGGTGGAAGACAAAATAGAAAAAGTGCCAATCATTGATTTGCCATGTCCTTTTAATTGGAAGGACAGAGCAAATGGAAGAAGAGAATGTAATCAACAATGACCCATTGACGTTTGAATTCGCAAAGTTATGGAAGGTGAAGAAGGTCACAATTATACCAGTTGTCTTTGGTTTGTACTTGGTTCGATAACTGAGAGAATAGAGACATTGTTGAATAAACAATAGCAATGTTTGCCTCGTGATACTGTTGCAGGAAGGAAGCCTCTTAAGAACGGTAAGGATAATCCAGCAAGTGATGATCACTTAATGTCAGTGTAAAATTACATGATACCTAAAGCTGCTAGCTATGGCTCGCTCTCTATGCATTAATGACCAGATATAAAGATACTTTCTGACAGAATATTGTAGAAATAATAATAATAATAATAATAATAATAATAATAATAATAATAATAATACTTGTTGTAACCTAAGGAAGGTTACTAAATAGAATAATCTCAGGAACGATAATACTTAGGACAAGAACAACACATATAAGATTCGCCAACGGCGCGTAGAAGAATAGTCTACTGCTAGAAGTGAGTCAAACTGCAGACCGCAGACCAACAAATACAGTATTTACTACTGTATTTATAGGAATTGGGACATACCCATTATCGTCCGTACATATGCTACAATAATAATAATAATAATAATAATAATAATAATAATAATAATAATCAAGTGGCTGAGGTGCACCGGGTTGAAGGCTGGGATAGAAGGCCTAATTATTGCAGATCAGGACCAAAGCCTCGCGACCAGGTCCTATCACTGTCACATAATCAAGGATGGCACTAATCCGAAATGCAAGATCTGCGGAAAATATGATGAAACTGTCGACACTATTATCTCAGGATGTCTGAAACTAGCAAAAAATGAATATATACACATATATAACAAAGTAGCGATATATGTGCACTGGAAGATATGCAAGGAGCACAACATCGAAACCACTGAGGGATGGTATGAGCACCAACCAGACACACTTGATCAAAATAACGATGTAATTATCCTCTGACACATGCCAATTCAAACTGACAGAGAAATAATAGACAACAGACCTGATATTATCATAAAAGACAAGAAATTCGTGTATGCTTATTGACATAGCAGTACCATCTACATGTCTATGAAAATTATCGAGAAAAAGTTGAAATACAAGGACCTGGAGATCGAGATTAACAGGATGAGGGGAAATGAAGACTGAGACTGTACCAATAGTAATCTGAGCTCTGGATTTCGTGATAAAAGGAAAGGACAATTTTACTAACAGTGTCCCAGGTAACATCAACGTACAAGTTACCCAGAAGATCGCCCTACTAGGAACATACCATATTCTAAAAAAAAAAGTGCTATCAATTAAATGACAATTCTCTTATACGGCCCAAGGACCGTAGTTTGGACCCGGCTCTACAGGATACAAAGCAGGAGACATAACATATATAAATAATAACAATAATAATAATAATAATAATAATAATAATAAGAAGAAGAAGAAGAAGAAGGAGAATCCAACAAAAGCTTACCAACTAGACATTGTTATATAAGACGAAAACGACCAACAAATCTTCACGCTAGACTAAGCAATTGTAGCAGACTGGAAAATGAAAAATCTTGGAATAGAAAAAAATGTTGTGGGGCATAAAAATCTCTACTCCACCTGTAGAAAGAGGAGTGCTGGATTAAAGAGTTTGGGTCATCTGAACATTTGAAGTGTCTTTTGTACAGGAGTAGAGATTTGATCCTTGTTTCTTCTTGTCGATTCAGTTTCCGGTCGCATCTAAAGTTTACTTCAACTCTATACTTCTAACGTCTTCGCCTAAACTCTGAAATGTATACTATTAGTCTGTTTCCGGTTGCTTCTAAAGTCTCTTCCTTCTCTTTCACTTACAGTAGTTCCTTGCGTTTTAGTGACGATATCGCCTTGCTTGGGGTGAATTGATTAAAATAAAACTAACGACAAAATAGCAAAAGGCTTGCGACATTTCGTCTCTGTGAAAATGATTGCAGGGTAGAGATTTGAGTGCGAGTTCATTCAAGCGGCTTGTTGTCGTTTGATTTCCATTAGATGCTAACAACTACTTTTTTTTGCGAATGTTCGGTAAGGATGACATGGCTTATTATGACATGGATTATTTATATATGAGGAAAGAGGCAGCCAACTGAAATAGTGTGTGTATGTGTGTGTGTGTGCGAGAGAGAAAGAGTGACAGAGAGAGAGAGAGAGAGAAAGAGAAAGAGAGAGAGAGAATGGAAAAGAGATTGAATCCGACGATGTGTTGAATGCTTATTGGCATAAGGCCCCTTTGCCGCAGAGAGAATCGACCTAACTCTAGCCACAATATTAGATTGCGCTGATAGAAATAAATACTGTTTGATTGAATCAGTGTCGCACGCACTCAACCAGGGCCTTAGTCAAAAGGTCCCTTCCCATTTGTTAATGTCAAACTTAATTTAGGAAAAGAGCAAAGACCAACACTGGGGAAATGTTCGCAAATCAATGTCGATAGTTACCATGGTTACACCGAGTCCGGATTAACTCGACCGAAATGGCGCCTAAAGAAAGATTATGCAGCGCCAAGCTTGATATAACAGTATTACATAGTGAGAGTGTCTTCCCAGTCACCTAAAAGGACCCTACCTGCCTCAGCATGGATAATGCTAACCTCCATAAGATCGACTCTCTACGTCACTGTCGGCTAACATTAAGTGGAAAGATTATATTGAATCCATTGCTAGGCCTGTGCTAAAAAATTAGTTTCACTGTGTCGTGCTAGATAATCTTCCTTTTTTGAATTGATTTTCATATTTATAAATCGACCATTCGTCCATACTTTGAATTTTGATGCCACATATGGCTCGGTACTCCTGTTATATATTTAGAGCTTCTTGAAAAAATCCATATAAGTATCTGCAATATTATTGGTTCTGACCTGTCATCTCGGCTTCAGTTACTTTCTCACCACACAGCTTCCCTATGCCTTTTCTATAAATATTTGATGGTTATTGTTCAGATGAACTCTTTGTTATGGTAACTAGACTTTATGAAGTTAAGCTCCGTATTAGATTGGCAGCAATGTCCCATCTTTTGGCAGTTGATTCGGCTAGATGTAAACATATGTTCTATACTAACAGTTTCTTTTTCTCGCACTTCTCGCTCGTGGAACTCTATTCTGACTACTTGCTTTCCAGTCAATTGTGATTTTCAAAAATTTAAATGTGTTACTAATTGTTATGTACTGTCTTCTTGATTACTCTTCTATTGTTCTCGCGCCATAGCAATGTTTTTTTTTTAATTATTATTTCACACTCAGCAACCCCTTGCGTCTTAAGGGTTTTACGGCCTTGTATGGGGTGAAATGATTAAAAATAATGATATTGAACTCAAGAAACTACCTTGCCATTGACTCATGACAATTATAAGCTCTCAAAACAGTTCTTTCCCCGTAACCAGTAATTAAGTGCAAACTCTTCTTCCTTCCAAGTATAAAGAGTCTTTTTAGGGGTACATTTTAATATCTCTGGTAAAGATTGAGAAATACAACCCATTTTTTTTTCTTTTAAGCGTTGTGTCTTTCCGGGAGAGAGGCGATCACGACCCATCCACAGTTTCTTATTTCATGCTCTACGGAGTTCTTGCTTTTCCTTGTTCTTTTCCTAGCACTGACTCGCATTTTTTGTATGTTACTCGCTGTTTCACCTTCCTCCTCTTGCCTTGGAAGTTTTGAATTCTCCAAGCCTCCTGTCCTCATTATATGTTCCAAACGTTTTAGCTGTTTCTTTCAGCAATTGCTTTGCAGTTCCTGTGTCTCCTTAAAACTTCGTCATTAGTCTATAGCATTCCCAGAATTCGTCACTAGAATTCTATGTCTGGCGTTTCCAATGTCATTCCGCTTTGTGAGGAAATCCTCTAAGATTCGCCGTCATATAGAAAATTAAATATTATATAACAGTTCATCACTATTTTATTCCTTACTATGGATGTTCTCAGGTCTCTTAAGAAGCTGTACAGTTTGTGAAAAATGCTTTTTTCTATTCGGATGCTCCTCGTTGTTCTCATTTTACCTACGACACCTTTCGACACCGACCGGAAGATGACAGAGAGAAGAATGCAACATATGAATGAATCAAGACAGTCACTTCAAGACTATCCCCCAGAAAGACGCGGATATACAACATTGTGAGTGTTCAATTTCCCAAACCTTCTTTCTTTATTACGTATCTCAGAAATTCCTCCTCGTTTTTTATATAGGTTCTATTCTCCTCTTCGTTAATCAAAATATACTAAATCATTTCCTATTGTGTACGTCTCTCAAACTGATACTTCGTTTTGTTTATATGCTCCGTTTATTTTCGCAGAGGAAAATAAATATAAGACGCCCAGTTAGGATCGAACTCACTACACAGTCTTCATAGTTACACTGATTAGCTCGCTAAGACAAGTCACCCCGAAAGTTCTGCCACTGTGTTGTCATGTTTGAAATGGCATATGTTTGAAAACGCTGAGCGAGGAGGAAAAGAGAAAGTCGAAATCCTTTTATGTTCAATCCCTTTTATGAATCTGTTTTACCTTCAAGTAATGGTGAACGCATCGATTCTCGTTCGGTCATTGAAATGAAGCCATAGTGAACTTGATTAGTGATATGCGTTTTTTTTTCTTTTTTTTTTTACAATAGAGTCCAAGGCCCAAGAACCAATCGATGTAGAGGGATACGCAGTAAGAGGCACATCTTGTGGCGATATGTAGGAAGATAACGGTTAAACCTGGACTTGGAGATTGCAGTGATCGATGAAGCATCCTCTTGGGAGGCAGTTCTTCGAAGCAACCTTTTGTGGGAAGAAGCTGCCTGAGCAGAATATGTCTCGCAAACGGAATTTGTTATAATGGCTGTGGCATGGCGGGTCTTAGTTAAGAACTGGTCGAACTAAGGAATGTAGCTCATCTAAGCACTTTCCGTGGACAGTTGTCTTTCAGTCTTGTGACCGACTAATTTGTTTCAAATATGGGAAAACTATTTTTTTCATTCTAATGATTCCATATCGGATTTATGTGTTATCTTTTCCGTATTCTTTTGCTCCATTATCCGGATAGTTAAATCCATGAACCGGCTTTATTTGACCACCCGTTCAATACGTAGCAGACGCTTTTGGCCGACAGTTTTATTGACGACCTCGCATTCTGTCTTCATATAGTTAATAGTTAGTCCTTTCCTCTTGCTTTCTTTTATTACCTTTTTAAAGTATTCTTTCAGTTTATATTCTGAGTTTACTATCATCAAGGTATCATCTCTGTATCTAACAGTGTTGAGATTATGTCTACCGATGAAAATATCCTGGTAGGTCTCCGTGTTCTCATAGGATCGTTTCGCTATATAGATGGAATAAATCCTCGATTTTAATGGACACTTGTCTTATTATTTTTATAGTTTCTCTTTATTCGCTGCTTTATTTTGTTTCTTATTGATGTCTCTGATGCATAATTCACTTGTTGGCAACGCACTTACGTACATACATTTTATATTGGATCCATCGGTAAACAAGGTATACAAAACAAAATTCCACCATCTTGCTTTTCATTACTCGAATTTGGTAACAATTTTATACATTATCAAAAGAGATTATACTTCCCAAATATCTAAATATCGTGTATGTCAGCTTGTTATTAAGAATTTCGAAGTTCCATTTCCTAAGAGATAGTAAGGAATAATTTGAGAGATTTATGTCAAAAGAAAAAAGATAGATAGATAGATAGATAGATAGATAAGCAGGATGACGGAAAGAATTCAACGGTGATATAAAATGCTTAAAAAACAATCCAATTTAATTTATTATTATTATTACTTTTATTTCCTTTGATTTCTGGCGTTTACACATTTCTTTCCGGGTCCCACCCAGGGATCTAAGGTTAGAAATGGCATCATGACACTTTCCACTGACAAAAAAAACAAAACATTATTATTATTATTATTATTATTATTATTATTATTATTATTATTATTATAATTATCATTATTATCTTTAAATTATTTTGTATAAAGTTTAACGTCAATATGTTTTTATTTATTTTCCTTTCTCATGTTTTTCATTAAATGTTGCTTCATCTTGAACTGTTATTCGAGAATTCGGAGTTCGATTCTGTAAGAGATAGTAATATTTAATTTGAGAGTTTACGTAAAAAAAGAAAAAGATCAATTAACAGATAAACAGAGATAGATAGATAGATAGATAGATAGATAGATAAAGAGAGAGACAGTATTGTAATATAAAATCAATATTCTCACATCATGGCAAAAACAATCCAATTTAATTAATTTTATAATTGTTTTATTATTGTTTTTTTTTTCTATTTTGTTTAAAATTAAAATATATATTTTTCTTTTCTTTCTTATGTCGTTTTTTTTGGAATGTCATCGTATCTTAAACTGCTATTCTCTCTTTCGGCTTACTGTTCCTCTAAATTACTAATCGGAGATACCAAAATTAAACAAGTACAAAATATTTAAATAAATGCGAAGTGTTTTAACGGAGGACGGAAAGTGCGACACTGAAATCCGTAGGCGCATTGGGATAGCGAAAGATGTTTTCCAAAAGCTAAGCAGGTTACTGAAAAACAGAAAAAAAATAGCTTTAAAGAAAACAGCACTGAAATGATATGTGAAGTCTGTCCTCCTATCTGACCCTGAATCCTAGTCAGTCTCCTCACAGACGAAGAAGAGACTTGAAGCAAAAGAAATGTGGTTCTACAGAAGGATGCTGAGTATACCCTGGACTGAATATGTGCAACGAAGAGGTTTTAGAGAACATGGAAACAGAAAGGAAATTTATACTTAATACCAAGAAGAGTCAATTGAAATGTCTAGGCACATAATGAGGAAAGAGGGCTTGGAAAATCTGATACTCACAGGACAGATTGAAGAGAAACAGAGAAAAACAACGCATAACATAGTGAGCTTGAGTAAATGGATTGGTAGAACAGTATTTAGGAGAAATAACAAAAATACAAAATTTATTAAGAGCTAAAAAAGGAGAGGAAATCGTCGAGGACCATCACTGCCGACACTCTGAGTGTATACGGCACATAAAAAAAAAGATAAAGGGATAATTCATTTGAGGGATTTGTTTAAAAAAAGAAAAAAATAATATCGATAAACAGATGATAGTATTTAATTATGAGATATGTTTTTACTATTCAATCAGTCAATTATGTGCCACGCATTATACACGCTTAGTCGATACATGACTGACGAGGCAGATTGTTTTCCCGCAGTAGGTTTCCATTTCTTTCTGCGGTAGACCA